GTCCTTGCTGAGTGGTTAGCTACCGGAGACCTGTCTGTTGTCGACCCCCCATCGAACACCAAGTACCACAAGGCCAGAGTACCAAACACTCACGCTGTGCGTGCCACGGTGCGGTCGTTCATACGAGATCGGTCCGTGACGCGTACACGTACAGTTGGGAAGGACGTCTTGGCCCACCTCTTGGAGAATGGAGTAGTCGTGGTCGATCCGTGTTGCCCAAAAGACTATGCTGCGTGTCTCCGTGCTGTCCAAGTGTTTTTGTCCCAACAAGGATACGAACGCGGCAAGCGCAAGGGCACCATCAGCTATCGCATGACCAAGTCGCATGAAGAGACAAGGGACGCGTATGTTGCCCTTATGGTTCCGACGGTGACGCATGCCCCCCGACGACCCGTGGTTTACTTGGATGAGAGTTTCATCCACCACCATTACAGTCGACACGCGGACAGTCTGTACGACCCGACGGACGACGCGACGACAAAGCCGAAGCACAAGGGCCGTCGGTACTGCTTCGTTGCTGGAATACTGGACGATGGTTCCGACGTGTCGCACCTGTTGGGCCTGGACATCTTTGTTGGCGGCAAGAAGAATGGCAAGAAGGTGGAGGACTATCACTCCATGTTCAACCACGACTACTTTGTCGACTGGTTCAAGAAACTGCTGGACGAAGTCGAAGAACTCGGATGGGGGTCTGCGGTGTTTGTCATGGACAACGCCAAGTACCACAAGGGTAAGCTGGTGGACACGCCCAATGGGAACTGGAAGAAGTGCGACATGTACCAAGCATGCGTGGACCTCAAGCTGCCAGATGTCTCCCCCGACGACCTCAGGACGACGATCTGGAAGAAGCTCAAGAAGTATGTTGAAGACAATGTCCAGCCGGTGGTGGTTTCGATGGCCGAAGCACGCGGCCACCATGTCATGTATGCCGCACCTGGGTTCTCCGAGCTCCAACCCATCGAATTGGTCTGGGCGAATGTGAAAGGTACGGTCGGCCGAGCTTATACCTCGACGACGACATTCAAAGATGTCCTCCATCGTCTCGAGAGCGCGTTCCATGAGTTGGACTCAGAGGTTATCCAAAGCACCATCGCTTCCTCGACGACCAAGCTTCTGAAGCTCGACAGTGCACTTCGTAAGGCTGAAGACGCGGCGGCGACCAGCAACAATGAAGGAGGTGACAGCGACACGTCTGACGGTGAGGACATGTCGTCATCAAGCGATTGCAGCAGCAGCAGTGACATTGATGATTAATGTCAAAAACCTCGTGTCATCCAGTACTTCTATAATACAGTGTTCATAGGATATAGGATTTCCAGAGGTGAGGTCACACTTCGCAAAACAATTATGCCTCTGAAAAATGATTATAAATTTTCATGAGTTGGCCTGGTCCCCTCGATGACCTCGCGGACTGTGAGTGTGTACATTGCACATTCCGGGGTATTTGAGTAGAATACAGAATGAGCAATTGACTATCGAGCTGGGGGGACAATTATTGTGGAGAGTTCTGCAGAAGGACTGTATAACGCTAGGGTTTGTTCATGCATCCAAGGGGGTGAATCAAAGGGGTGCACATCGCTGCAATTGCAGCGATCAAAGCTAAGTGACAGCATCAGTGATGTCTACCATCTCCGTTCTACAGTGCTCAATTTCCAAACTTGTACCTACCTGTCGTTAAGCCCCAGAATTACTACGTATTAGTACTGTACTGTATTCACTCAAACTCACATTGCGCACATGTACATTGTGTCGAACATCAATGCGATGCGTGGCATTATAATTGTTAACTCACAGTCAGCCCATGCATGGTTCAAGTCTCAATAACGACACTTGCCTTCGCCTCAGTACTGCAGTATGTGACACTAGCATCAATAACTAGCACATTAACTGGTATATCAATACTGTCCAATGCTTGGGAAGGACTAGTACAGTAGCCAGGCATGGAGAGGCACCGTGCCCTCCGCTGTGCTTCAGCCTTGTTAAGAGTGTCCAAGTACAATGCCCTCTGATTGGTTACATACATTTTATTTATAGCCAATCATAAGTTATAAAGACTTCATTGTTCAATTTGCAGTTTCAGTCCCACAAGCACCGGCCACCACTTGCAGGGGGGCTCCTGCCCTCACAGCCTTCAGTTGATGTAGTAAAACATGGCACATTCTATCCACACGTAGGATATAGCTACGTTACACCAGATTTCTTGCACAAACAGGAGCAATAAGACTAGAACGGTCACATTGATTTGGAGCAATGTCGGCTTGTGGAGTAGGGGGTGGAATTGAGCCTACGCCACAAACTGACAAGGTTTCGCTGAGGGCGACTGGTGTCATGCAGTACACTGTGCACCACGTGGTCATCAGGCTTCCATTACAATGCCTTGTGGCTGAGTCGTTGTACTCATTCGCTGCGTGCTGTAGAATGGCAGCAAGGCTACCGGTACCCTATATTCAGCTTTTACCATCGTCAACAAACTCACCAACATAACTTGGTCTGTGACTCTATTGGGACAGGAAAAATCCATACTCACACGACTTTATTAGAGCATCTGCACCGGCACCAGTAAATTTCACCCCCATTATCCGGATAACTTGTTCGGATACGCGAGTTACTGGCGCCAGTAAGGACAAATTTTACTGGCCTCGTTTTGGTTTCGCACCGCAGTCAGTAAAGGAGATTGATTGCACTTGCTTCGTGAAGGATTCGGCTGCATGGGACTCTGAGAGCGAAAGTAGTGGCGATGATGACGTTGTCATCGCCATAGTGCTGCGTGGGTTAGTCGTCGCAGCGCAGAAGAAGGAAGTATGTAACAGAGGCTCCAACAAGGGCAAACGGCCAAACATTGACCGCAACCGTGCTCAGTACGACCTACTGCTGCGTGCAGACTACTTTGATTCCGTGCCTACGTACGACGACAGCCATTTCCGAAGGCGCTTTCGAATGCCGAAGAGTCTATTCCTGCAAATTTCGAACGATCTGGCACACCAGGACCCTTACTTTCAACAGAAACCTGATGTCACAGGTGTATATAGTACATAACCAGCAGATATTCATATATAGTCAGCAGATATTCATATATAATCGGTGACATAGGACGCCAAGGTTTTTCTACATTGCAAAAGGTTGCTGCATGCGTCCGATACCTAGCGACAGGTTGCTCGATAGACGACCTGGACGACAGGTATTTTAGCTATTTTGCTACAAATATAATTACACAAATTCAAAAATAATATGAACTTGAATTCACAGTCAACGGTTTGTTAGATATAGAATTGGAGAGAGCACTATGCGTCAAGCCTTGCGCCGATTCTGCTCGGGGATTCAGTCGCTTTACAAGGACAGCAGCCTACGCGAACCTAATGAATCAGACTGCCAAAGGCTATTGCGCGACGCTCAACGTGTTGGTTGGCCTGGAATGCTGGGGTCTCTCGATTGCTCTCATTACGCATGGAAAAATTGTCCGAAGGCGTGGGCTGGGCAATTTCAAGGTGCCAAAGGCCGACCGACAGTAATATTGGAGGCTGTGTCCGACATGCGAGGACGCATTTGGCATGCGTACTTTGGCATGCCTGGAGCAAACAACGATATCAACGTCTTGGACAGTTCAAATATGCTTCACGGTTCGATTGGAGGTGCAATAATAATATTTTTTAAATTAATGATAAAATATTTAATGTAGGCAATAATAGGATGGCGTCCTCAAGTTCAATACAATGTAAATGGAAACACCTACGACACACCATATTGGCTCGTGGATGGAATTTACCCTCCATACTCAGTCTTTGTGAAAACGGTACCCAACGCGAAGTCGCTCCGGGA